CCGCATCCCCTGTCACCTCCATCAGCAGTCAGCATCAACAGCATCATCACAATCGTCACCATCATCAACTACACAACAATCGTCCTCATCCTATAATCTCCATCGTCATCCTCATCCTCGTTATCGTCCTCATCCCCATCCTCGGCCTCATCACCGTCTCCTACACCTCCGCCGCCGCCGTCACCGTCTGCCTGACATTGAGTGGCGCACCCAGGCAGTAGGGTGGTACCCCAAGCAACTAATCCCACCAACGGGGCGACCGAAACCAGCGCTGTCAGGATAGGATCGTTTGCTTAGCGTGTCGCGGCGGCAGCCCCAACGACACACTGTGCCCTGCAAGCGGATAGCGTGTCGCTCCGCTCCGCGGGGCGGAATGCTGCGATAGCTCTGGACGGTCACGCTTGGGAGTGGGAAAGTGGACAGCGTGTCGGGCCGAAGCGTGGTGGGCAATAACTGGCGGAGCGATACGCTGAGCCAGAGTTCCTGACCGTATCACTTCAAGGCATCCCCTCGACCTCCTCCTTCGACCTTCCCTCGTCACACCTTCCCCCCCTCCTTCTCCCATCCATGCGTTGCACGAGCGCTTTGCCGTCGCGAGCGTTGAGCGCGCGCACCAGGTAGTCGTCGTCGATCATGCTGCGGAACTTTGCCTTCTCCTCCGCGAGCGCCGTGGCTCAACGCAAAACGACTCCAGTCTCATCCCGTCATCCTCACCCTCCGCCTCCGCATCATAATCATAATCATCATCATCATCATCATCATCATCATCATCATCATCATCATCATCATCATCATCATCATCATCATCATTGCCACCGTCATCGCTACAACCACCACAATGCTCCTCCTTCTCCTCCTCATCGTCGTCATCATCCCCTCCCCTCCGTCACCTTCTCAATATCATCATCCCACTCATAGTCGAGATAGCCCGAATCAGAGACCCGCCACCGCGTCCTCGCGGCGAGTAGCCCGTCGCTTGCTGAATGAGGTTCGCCTCTTTGCGGGGAAACAAGGTTCCCTATTCCTCATGTCCTACGGTCGCATATGCCACCTCATCCATGTCATAGGCTTCCTCATCCGCCTCCTCCTCCTGAAGCTCCGAGTCCGACTCCTCCTCCTCCTCCTCCTGCTCAGCAGCATCGTCACCATCATCATCATCACCATCACCACCACCATCATCATCATCATCATCATCATCATCATCATCATCAGCATCAGCATCATCATCATCATCGACATCACCATCATCAGCATCATCATCAGCATCCGCATCATCAACATCAGCAACATCATCATCCACAGCATCCGCAACAACATCATCCTCATCAGCAGCATCAACATCACCATCAACACCATCAACATCAGCAGCATCATCAGCAGGATCGTCATCGGCACCATCAGCAGCAGCACCAGCAGCAACAGCAGCAGCAGCACCAGCACCAGCACCAACATCAGCATCATCAGCAACATCATCAGCATAATCATCAACATCATCATCGGCACCATCATATTCAACATCATCACCATCAGCAACAATAGTATCAGCATTAGCATCATCATCGCCTGCAACATCGTCATTATGATGGTCATCACCATCAGCATCGGCAGCATCACCACTATCATGCTCATCATCATCAGCATCATCGGCATCGTCATCGTAATCAGCATCATCGTAGTCGTCGCCATTTCTATCATCATCATCATCATCATCATCATCATCATCATCATCACCATCACCACCACCATCATCATCATCAGCATCATAATCATCATCATCGTCCTCATCCTCATCCTCATCCTCATCCTCCTCCTCATCATCATCATAATCATTTTCATCATCGACACCAGCATGATAATCCCACAAGCCCTGTGGGCGTAGGTGATCTAGGGAGGTCCCTTTTCCAACCCCTTGCTGCCCCTTTGGTGGGAAGGAATTTACCCTCCACCCTACCCCCTCCCCCTGGACCTGGACGGGGGTGGCCGCGGGTACTTGGAGCGTTCAAGATGGCCCAGGACAGCTCCAAGAGCGCCTCGGAAAGCTCACAACGACATCCGAGATGGCTCAAGATAGCGCAAGATGCTCAAGATGGCTTTAAAGATGTTCCAAGAAGCCCCAAGAACGCTCCAAGACGGCTCCCAGCGGCCTCCGGGACCTCCAAGGAAGTCCCCAAGAAGCCCAAATCCGTCAAACACCTAGGCACATCAATGAGGTACACAAAGAATAGGATTCCCCACATTCTCGTATATTTTCTTGGTTTTCGCCCCCCCCCCCCCCCCCCCCCTCCCCACTTCCCATATTTTCTTATATTTTCTGGGAATCGCAGATTCAGTGTGTGTGTGTGTGTGTGTGCGTGCGTGCGTGTGTGTGGTGTGTGTGTGTGTGTGTTGTGTGTGTCTGTGTGTGTGTGTGTGTGTGTGTGTGTGTGTGTGTGTGTGTGTGTGTGTGTGTGTGTGTGTGTGTGTGTGTGTGTGTGTGTGTGTGTGTGTGTGTGTGTGTGTGTGTGTGTGTGTGTGTGTGTGTGTGTGTGTGTGTGTGTGTGTGTGTGTGTGTGTGTGTGTGTGTTTCTTCCCCCCCCCCCGAAGTGGCAGCGCGAGCTGCGCCGAACTCCCAGCAAGCCGACGGGCCCGCCCAAGGCAGCGGGGCGACGCGCGCGGCGCCGCCCACAGCGCAGCGGAGGGGGGGCGCCGGGCAGCAGCAGAGCCCCGGGCTGGAGCAGCGGCAGCTGTGCGGAAGAGAAGGCTGGGCCGCCGAGCTGATATTTTTGACTCGGCGCTCCACCTCTCGGGCCCTCGCCGAGAGGCCCTCGCCGAGAAAAAAAAAAAAACACTCGTCCGAGCGATGCCAGGTGATCGGCTCGTCGTGCAGCCCTGGAGGCCCCGGGGCGCTCCCAGGGTGGGGGCCCCGCGACCGAGTGCTCTGATGGGAGGCCACCGTGGGCCTCGCCGGGGAAGGGCCCCGACGCCACCGCTGGGCCAGGGCAACCTCTGGCAGCATCCGAGGGAGGAAGCCTGCGACTGGCCATCGCTCGGACGTCCATTCCCCTTGCTTTGTTCGGTTTCGTGCGTGGTTTTTTTTTTTTTTGTTTCGCAGGATGGCCCAGGATGCTCCTGAATAATCCCCGCCGAGAGAAACTGCACACGCCCGAGCGATACCAAGCTCTGTAACTCGACGTGGGAGGTCGAACGAGCCGAGGACGACCAGCACGAGCACCCAGAGGAATATGGGCAGCGGCACGAGAGGAGCGTAAAGCTGCACATCGATGAATGGCGTGGTCACCTTTGGGCATCGCGCCCTGCGATGATGCTAGAAACGCTTGGGCCTTTTCAGTTTGCATGGTAGACGTTTGTGTCTCCGTTTGGAGGGCCGTCTCTTGTCCTTTGGGGGCTTCTCGTCTCGCCGTATGGTATGTGCGGGCCGCCGCTTCTTCTTCTTTTGTTTTGGGGGGTCTATCTGTGCTTCCCCTTCTGGTTGGCCGAGAACGAGGGCAAGAATAGTCGCGCTTCGCGCTCCGCAGCGCGCGATCCTCGTTGCGCTTTTTCGCGCCGCCCCAACCCCACCCCCACCCCAGACTAGGATTCGAGTAGAACATGGACTGCAGAATGGATTTACCCCAGAATTGATTTTCTCGTCGAGTCATAGCTATGACGTTCGTAGATCTACGAATCTTTTACGCGTTTCTCATGAACTCGACGAACACATCAACTTTGGGGTAAATCAATTCTGTGGTCGATCCCCGAGTCGAAGGATGAGGGACTCGTGCCTCGCCCCGAAACCGACCAGACCGTGAAGCGCGGCGAACTTTTCGCACCCTTGCGGAGGCCCTCGGAGCAGAAACGCCCCCCGCGTTGTGCACAGCCTTCGGTCGGGCATGTCCTCCTGCAGGCGGATTCCTTAGAGGACACGCGAAACATCAAACCATCGTCACGCATAGGTATAACACAGAGCGCGCCAAAGCGTCACCAGCCTATGTTTTGGGCTGCTAGTCTTGAAGATCCCCCCTGTAGAAGGACATGCCCGACTTCATGTGTAAAACAAGGCTAGGATCTGGATAAATCGCTCCAGAGCGTTCCAGAGCGCTCTCAGAGCGTTCTGGAACGCTCTGGGGCGGCCGCGGCGCCCAATACATCCTCCAAACCCGCCGATTCTCAGAGATTTCGAGTTATCCCGATCCGATTTTGTCCCGATCTTCGCGTCGTTTTAATGTGACCATCGGCCAGGAGCGCGCCCCTAGACCCAAGATGGATCCCCAAGGGGCTTCTAGCAGGCTTCCAATTGGCCCTCAGGATGCCTCCCCAGAAAGTCTCCACGATGCTCTCAAGAACAGAGGAGGGAGTGGGGAAGGAGGAGGAGGAAGAGGAGGAGGAGAAGGAGGAGGAGGAGGAGGAGGAGGAGGAGGAGGAGGAGGAGGGGGAAGAGGAGGAGGAGGAGGAGGAGGAGGAGGAGGAGGAGGAGGAGGAGGAGGAGAAGGAGGAGGAGCGCGCCCCGCGGTGCCGTGCCCCGCGGCCGCCGCCCCGCCCTCGCGGGGCATGGCAGGGAGAAGCCCCCGCACCGGCGGCGCGGCCCCGGAGCGCGAGCGGCGACACGAGGAGGGCATCTACGCTTCTGCCGGGCCTGTCCCCGTACAGGGGCACTTCGGGCGACCAATTGAGAAGACACCATATATATATATATGTATGTATATATGTATATATACACATATGTATACACATATATATACATATATATATATACAGCTATACATATATATCTATATATATGTATATATATATATATAGATGTATAGGTATATATATATATACATATCAAATACTCAACATGGACAACAGAAATCGTCCCCAGACTGTGTTTTGACCAGTCTCGAACATTTCCCCTGTAGAGGGACAGGCCCGACTCGAATCTACACACCACCACCTGTGCCTGGCCGGGGCCAGCCTGGGCCCCGGCGTGGTGCATACGCCACAGACCTCGGGTCTGCACACCGTCCCAGGGCCACGAGGCATGGCCGAGGCCACGAGTGTCTTGTGCACCATCCTACAGGGCCCAGGACAGCCCTGGCCGGGCACGGTGGTGGTGTATCGATGCCTTCGTCGGACGGCGAGCTCTCTGGCGGCCGCCCTCGCGCGCTCGCGCGCGACGATCTTCGCACCCTCGTGGTGGCCCTCGGAGATGGCACGCCCCCGGCTGGGCGACCTGCACAAAGGGGTGGAGGGAGGGGGGAAGGCTTCTCAGAAGGAGGCTGCCTCTCAGAAGGCGCCGGCCTCACATCTACAGAGCAGGCCCGCGCCTTCTGAGAAGCAGGGGTGCGTCTAGGAAGCCCTCCCCCCCCCCCGACCACCCCTCTGCGCGTGGCCGACCAGCGCTGCCAACCTCGACCGGCAGCGCGCGCGGCGGTGCGAGGCCCGCGGTCACCGCCGCGCTCTCGCGGGACCGTTAAGTCGGGCCTGTCCCCCTACAGGGGGCTTTTCGACGAGCAATAAAAAATACACCACAAATAATCAAACAATAGTCCAGGCCCGACTGGATAAGTCAAAGTAGTCCAAACAATAGTAAACAATAGTCAAAATACATCAAAAAATCAAAACAAACAAAAAATCAACAATCAAAAATACCAAAAATAGGTAAAACACACACAAAAAAAAAAAAAAAAAAAAAAAAAAAAAAAACGGGACCTCCTGGAGAGGCCCGCGCCGGCGATGCCCTGGGCCCCGGGGCTGCGCGAGCGGCCGCCCTCCCCTCGCGCGCTCGCGCTTCTGGCCCGGGAGCCCACGGCTGGAGCAGGGGATCGACTCCTAACGCCATCAGGGATCAGTAATCAGGAGGAGGAGGAGGAGGTGGGACAGGGAAGGAGTTGGCGGGTGGATGAAGAGATCAACAAAAAGGGTGGAGGGGGCAGGACACGAGGGGCTGAGCGAGAGGTGGAGGTGGAGGTAGAAACGGAGCTGCCCGTCGAATCTGCGAGCCAGAGTACGCAGCATGCTGGTAGGTCCACGGGACAGACTTCGAATTTGACTGTAGCTTCGACTGAACAATCCAGGTCGGGGCAAATTAATTCTGTAGTCGATCCCCTAATTTCTCGAACGGTGCCTCTGGAGGAGGCTCCCGAGCTGCTCGAGGCGGCGCGCACCGCTTGGGGGCCCCTCCTCGGTCGGGAGTTTCTGGGTGCACAGCTTCCTGCAGCTCACGTTCTCCAGCATCCTGGCTCGGGGGGGGGGGCACGCGGGAGGGAGGGCGGGAGGAGAAGAGAGCAGGAGAGCGGAGGAGAGAAGAGGCGGAGAGGAGGAGAAGAGGGAGGAAGGGGTAAAGGCGAGAATGAGGGGGGAGAGACGAGTGAGGAATGCGCTGGGGCCGGATGTGAAGCCATGGCTCCGCGACATTACCAGGAGTCGGTCGCGTCCGAACCCGACTCCTCGCCAGGAAGCGCCAGGGCCTCTGATTCGAGCCTGCGTCCGAGAGAAGTCAGCCTACACGGGGCCTCCGCGGTCCCAGAGACCGTCCGGTGACGGACCGCGCGGTGAGGTCTCTTGGGAATTCGACGTCACCTCCTTCTCCTCCTCCTCCTCCTCCTCCTTTTCCTGCTCGTGTTCCTCCTCCTCCCTCTCCCTCCTCCTCCTCCTCCTCCTCCTCCTCCTCCCCACTCCTCCTCCTCCTCCTCCTCCTCCTCCTCCTCTCCTCTCCTCCTCCTCATCATCATCATCATCATCATCATCATCATCATCATCATCAGCATCACAGCATCAGCATCAGCATCAGCATCAGCATCATCATCATCATCATCATCATCAGCATCAGCATCAGCATCAGCATCAGCATCAGCATCATCAGCATCATCATCATCATCATCATCATCATCATCATCATCATCATCATCATCATCATCATCATCATCATCATTATCATCATTATTATTCTCCTCCTCCTCCCCTCCTTCTCCTCATCCACCTCCCTTCCCCCCTCCTCCTCCTCCTCTTCTCCTTCTCTTCCTCCTCCCCCTCCTCCTCCTCCTCCTCCTCCTCCTCCTCTTCCTCCTCCGCCTCCTTTCCTTCCCCCCCCCCTCTCGCGGTGAGCACCGCCGCGCGAAAAGAGGTGGCGGGAGGGGGGCAGCCTTCCGAGAAGGCAGAAAGGCCTGCTGTCTCAAAGGGCTCCGAGGAGTGGCCCTCCGGCCCGCCTGCCCCGCATTCCTGCCCCCCCCTCTCGCACGGCGCGCGGGAGGGAGTGGCGGGGCGGCCTGCCACTGGAGCATGGGCTAGAAATTGGGATGTGGAAGACGAGAGATTGTTTTCCATGCTGGAAGACTGAAAAGCGATGTGTAGCGCGTCGAACACATGTAGAGCGGGCGCGGGGGGGCTTCTTCCCGGCCCCAGAGCGCAAACGGCGCCGGCAAGGGAAAACCACCACAACGGGCAAAGGTGAGAAGGGACAGGCGAGCTACCATCCAGGTCTGGTGCTTAAGCCCGTCCGTCGCGCACTCGGTGAAACAACACATCGGGGGACTGAATGAAATACCCCTTCATAAAATTTGCCTGGCCGCAAACGGACAGGCGCACCTGAGACCGACATGTCCCTGGGCTGACGGCCCCCATGTCAACCCAAGGGCACATTGGCCCCCCGTGGCGCCAACCGCAAAACAACAAACTGAGACATATGAAGGGATGAAAATACTCCCGTCAGAGCCCGCGGGTCTAGCCGGAACAGGCTAATCCCCCACGCGCCTGATGCGAGACCATGAAGGAGCACTGCCAAAGCAGCCGCGAACTGCCCGGACACAGTCCGAGCAAGCCCGTTCGCTTACGTGCTCTATTCGTCAATATCTCACGCTGATGTCGTAGATCGCGCTCCGACTTTGAATGGCCTCGCGGCGCAGTCACGAGAGTCATTGCATCTGCGTGGGTGAGCTATGCTGTTTTCGGGGCGGTCTTCAACATCTCGTCGGCGAATGTGTTCGCGGCGTGGTCAAAGCTGAACTGGCCGCCCATCGCGCTGAGGATTAGCTCTCGGCCCATGCTGCCCTTAGTCGCGGGGTCGGCCCGCGCGCCCCTGTTGTCGCTGTCGCACCAGTGCAAGTCGTCGATCTGCATGGTGCGCAGCTGATCGGCCAACCACCGCAGGCATTGCTGTTCTCGGACGGCGGAAGGACCGGGCCCTTGAGCAAAGCGCTGAAAAGGGACATGCCGTCCACGACGAGGCCTGCGGGGATCGCGGAACCCCCTAGCCCCCCGAGCACCCGGATCTCCTCGGCTGTAGCAGGGCCGCGCGCCATCTCGTGCAACGCGGGGGCGCGCGCCCGCAAGCTGTCTGCTGCGCCGCGCGCTGCGGGCAGCTCAGAGCCAGACGAGAATCTAAACGCAAACTTCGGCGATCGGCCGACGGCGCCCAGCAGGTCAGGACCCCGCAGACCCGGACACGCTAGACCCAGACATCCAATATCCCTCGAAACCAAGTTATCGAAACGGCGGCACGAACAAAATACTGCACTGCGGCATTTCCAGAAAAAAACCCAGACACAGGCCCCACATGCCTGCAAGACCCCCCCCCGCACCCGGACACACACCCGAACCCTGCAGTGAAGCAGCAAAAATGCACGGGTGCTGAAAAACGTGACTTTGCAGGAAAGGATGTCGGTTGCTTGGTTTTCCGTGTCCTGGTCTATCTGTGCCCTGGTTTCCGGGTGCCCGAGCAAGTGGCGCGCCTTGTTCGCCGGCAAGGCGGCACTTGCCGAGACGCATGTCCACGGCTCTTCTCACGCCGTATCCTGACTCCTCCTGCCTCTTGAAAGAAACGTCGCTGCGCACGCTGAGCCCCCCGGCCCACTCAATTGATGGAGATGCGATGCGTGCGCGTGGCCAGAGCACCTGAGTTGAGCTGCGCCACGCGTCGGCTGAGCAGCTTGATCTCGGCCCCTGCAGGGTGGCAGCGCACGCTGCGACATGGCGCCGGGCGAGCTTGGCGCAGGTAACTGCTCCCAAGAGGGAGACGACGAGGTCGGGGAGCCGACCTCTGGCCGGCTCGTCAGACTTGGCCGTGACCAGGTCGACGTGTCTTGTCGGCAATGGAGCGTCGATGAACGTCCTGGTCGAGCGTCGCGGCGCCGTCGGCGCTGCGGTGCTGGTGCGCTCCGCAGTTGGTGAAGTCGTCGTAATCACCCATCATATTGCCGGAAATGCTCTGGATGTTGCTTATCAGCTGGTCGGCGCGCCCCTTGTGCCTAGCGGTCTCATGATCGCCGACGTGCCCGGGCAAGAGCACTTGCTCCGAGACGCCGGCAACGCAGCTGCAGGACGTAGCGCGCTTGACCCCTAGCCATAGGATTGGCGTTGCGCTCGGATGAGCGCGCGACCCGGGCGAGCATCGCGGAGAACACTCTGGGTGCATCCTTGCAATCTGTTCCGCGCTCCGGCTCGATGCGCCGCAGGCGCTGGGTCCGCCGGTCCGCTCGACGAAGATCTCGTAGCCCGGCGCCTGCCTGAGGATGGCTGCGCTGCCGGGTGGCAGGGTGAAGTCCACCTCTCTGCAAAGGTCATGCCTCGCAAGAGCGTCTTCTCGACGTCGACGGCGACGCGCGCCCGGTCGGGGCGACTCGCCGAATCTCTGCCCCAGCGGACGCCCCCAGCGCTCCTGCGCCCACGTCGCGGCCCCCCTGGGCGCAGTGGAGCGCGGGATGTTCCTGGCAGTCTCGCCGTCTAACCCCTGCCAGTTCTTCCACTTGAAGGCGCGTCTGGAGTTCATTGCGTTTCGGGCGCCTGTGAGCGGCCGCCTCTCGAAACATTTGCACTTGACCATGTGGGGGGCTCCTCGTGGGTGGCTGCTGCGACATCCCATCGGCAGCCAGGGCGCTTCCTCGTGATGCGCAGCTCTGCGAACCAAGGTGCGAATCGGAACTTGGTTTAACGCATCCAGTCCATTCATGGCGGTGAGATGCTGCATATCATTGTCCCAGGTAGCTGCGCCACCTAGGTTTGCACGACATTTGCGCACAATGAGACCTTCGAGCGAGGCCACGTCTCCACTTGTAAGAGGTAGATGACCTTCCAGGCAAACTTCCAAGCCACTGGGCGCCGTGTTCACTAGCAACCCTTCTGCCATGGACCGCTTAATTCCAAGGTTGCCCGATGGCCTCTAAAACCTGCCCATGGAGTAATAACTCGCCTGGAGAACTCGAAGTTGCTCTTTCAAGTTCGGGATTGGGCGTGAAACTGCTTGAAGTCCCCCAAGATAGCGCGCATGATGCCCAGTTCGTCCTGCGATCTGTGCGGCGTGCTTGTGTATGATGCGTGCTGCTATATGTGCTCCATCTCCGCGTAGGTAGGCTACGTTATCCTGCTTGATGGTGTTTTGTGCGGCCCCTACCTCCCGCATCCCCATGTCTACGGCTGGGTTCTCCAGACGGCTGCCAACCTCGAGCTGTTCGACAGTTGTGCCTGGATGATTGGTAACTAAAACCTTACATCATAAATCGTCGACAAAGCCCGCGGGTGCCATGTGCTGCATGGGGCTGTCACTTCATGGGTGCTCGACCTTCACTGCGTGAAACCATTTCTCACTCACACATAGATCAGCAATAGCTATCTGTACTGGAGGGCTGAGAGTTCTTGCAAACATCGAAGTCGCGCCCACATATCCAGGAAATGTTTCTCCATGTGGGCGAAGCCAGAAACTGCCAGACTCGTCCTCGAAAAGAAAAAAGCCACGTAATACTCGATCACGTGCAGCTTGTAGGTCTTGGTCGGCATACAGCGTGGGCAATAATTTTAGAAACCTCTCATGTTTAAGACTGAAGAACGCATTGGTCGCATCATGCAATCTCACCAAATGTGATACTCGTGCCGCTTGAAGCCTGTATGATGAGATGAGTTGAACTCCCATGGCAGCTTCTCATCGTCCTCCATGAATCCATGCCTCTGGCTGCCATGGCGCCAACTTCCTTCGCAAAGCAACTGCATAGTAAGTGCGACCAATCGTACACATAAGCATGATGACTCCCTCCCCATCTACCTCAATATTACCGTTGCCTTTGGGAAGTCGGGCCCCTTGAGCTTCATGCCAGGCCAATGGTGATCGTTGTAATTTGCGCGCGGGGAAGAGCATAGCTCTCAAAAGGCCGTGCAAGACTTCAGGCTCCTGAAATTCTACATTTCCAGCACCAATACCAGTTTGCGGTAGAGGTCGTCTCGGGTTTACCCATTTGGGTTCCATAATAAGTCGCAGCGCCTTCACAGGTATTGACCATGATAGCTATGCTCTCCACAACTTCATCATCCACATGGTACTACGCATTCCATTCCAATCATCCGTTGACAGCTCCATAGCTTCATCATGGATTAGCTCTTCACGCTGCTCCTCCACAGTCTCAGAAATAACCTCGCTCGTACACGGTGTAGTCGCGGAACAACCACCTCGAGAACTGGAGGAAGAGGGAAGAGGAGGAGGAGGAAGAGGAGGTGGGGGGCAAGGGGCGGAGCAGAAGGAAGAGGAGCAGGAGGAGGAGGAGGAAGCTTGGCGCGCTCGCGCCACATCTGACATCCAACCCCTCCCGCCCGTCCCTCCCCTCGGCGGCGCGCACACGGGGGCAGGGGTGCAGGGGGAAGGCTTCTTAGAAGGATCGGCTATACGCAAGAGTGACCCTGGGTAAGAGTGACCTTTGGTGCGCGGCATTAGGGGGGCGCGGGAGAGCCAAACCCAAGCGCGTGGGCCGCTGATATCGCACCGCGTTCGGCGATTGGCACCGAAGGTCACTCCGGCGAAAGGTCACTCTTACGTCTAGCCGAAAGGAGGCTGCTTCGTAGAAGGCGCCGGCCTTATATCTATAGAGAGAGGGAGAGCCCACGCCTTGTAAGAAGCAGGGGTGCTTCTACGAAGCCTGATCCCGTCCCCCTGCAGCCTTCGCGCGTGGCAGATCCCAACTGCATTAAAATCGGCGGTGGACAAACCTCCCTTTAGTAAACCTCCCCTCAGTGAAAACGGCCTGGGACCGAAACCGACGGACCTGGACCCGCAAAAATGACGGCCGCGACGCCGTCTCGCGAACGGAAAACGGCCAATTCCTTAATCGACGTGTCAGGGTGGGGGGTCTGTCTACCTCCGATAAAATATCCGAAGCTGCCGCCCAGGAGGGGGGAGGAGGAACAGAAGGAGGACGAGGAGCAGGAGTACGAGGACAAGGGGGCGGGGGGGCGAGAGTTTCTGGGGGTCCCCGTGCGGGTCTCCAGAGGGCCAGGCAGGTGCTCAACACTGGCCCAAATCTCAATCCGCGATCCCACCCTCTCCTCCTCCTTGCTCCCCCTCCTCCTCCTCCTCCTCGATTCTCCTCCCCTCCTCCACTCGTCCTCCTCCTCCTCGATTCTCCTCCTCCTCCTCCTCCTCCTCCTCCTCCTCCTCGACGATCCTCCTCGACCGCCTCCGTCATCCTGCCCGAGGGGGAGGCAGGGCGCTCGCTCCGGATCTCGTAGGCACTGTTCTCGATGCTGTCGCCTTCCAGGATCTCGCCAAGGTTCTCCACGCTCTCCTGCCGAGCCCGGGGTCCGCGGCTGGCCCGGCCGCGGAGAGCGGAGGGGACGAGGAGCAGGAGCGGCCGCGGCGGCAGCTTCTTCGAACCTGCACCTCCCGGAGCCCCTCCCGCGAAAAGGAAGAGCACGACGGGAGCCATGTGAACAGTACGGCGACGAAGCCAGGACGACGACAAATTCGGATGGAGATACAGTCGGACTTGATTGGAGAGGGCAAGACCCTTCCGAAGGCCACATCGCCATAGGAGTGTAAGAAGGCACGTGTCGCGAGGCACAGGACACTAGGGTACCCTTGAGCTGGCAGGGACGACATACTATTTAGGGCCGACTGTACATCGAGCATCGCTAAGATCCGGCGGCTCTGGAGGATGCCTCGGGGACTGCGGCCTTCTCAGAGCTTTCTGGAACGCTCTTGAACAGATTCGTCCTTGTCCTGGCCCCACCCGAGGTAGGACTCTGGGGGCCCTCACCGTGCCCTAGGGTTGTGGATGCCACGACAGTGGACACCCTAAGAGTCCTATCATTGAATTTAAAATGAATTTAAAATGTCGGAACGATGTTCTAAACATGTATTACACATGATTGAAACATGCTTAAACCATGTTTAAGACATGTTTAGACATCTGGAAATTATTGGCAGCATGCTTCCTCTCCATTGGTCGCCCTCCACAACCCTAGGGCCCATTCAAAGAAAACATGTCGAGGAAGGGGGCGAGTCCTCCAACTGTCCACGTCATGAAAAAAGGCACGCCTGTGTCCTCCCTGTTCTTCTGCCGATCTTCCTCCTCCTTACCAGCAGGAGTCTGCGCCACCCGAGGTCTCCCTAGCTTCCTCAGCAACTGCGATGCTCTGCACGGCGTCAACTTATTCCTCCCAGCACTACTTAACGATGGACAGATGCTGTCCCCATCGATAAGCGTTGCAACCCTGCGCCCTCGCGAAGACTCCAATGGACTCGCGCGGATGTGAAGCACAAAATCATGCGTTGCTCTCGCCGGCATTGCATGTTGCTTGGGAGTCGGAACTGCGTGGACGGGGATTACGTGTGGTTGCCACGCGTATGGAGACCCTTTCCTTCAACGTAGAATTACAGATTGCCAGCTTGCCAGCATGTGATGGCGTGAGGAATCTCGTGCGTCAATGTCCTACTTATGTGACGTCGGCCATGATTTGTTCGTACACCGCGTGAATCGGGGACGCGCTAACATGGATCAGCGATCCATGGATTTGGCGCGCGGTCGCCTGATCCATGGATCTGGGGAGGCGCCCTCCCCAAAATGCGGCCGGTGCCGCCTCGGTCGGCGGCGGAAATCCGAGATTTCCCACGGAGGCGGGGCCCGTCGCTAATCCACGCCCCTTAATCCATGTCTGCGATCGCCTGGGTGAAGCGTCCGACCTTGACAGATCTCCCTCCGCGCTCGGAGGCCCCCCGAGGCTGTCGGCACAGCCTGTCGCACGGGCCTCGCGCTGGGGGTCCCGACGAGAGAGAGCGTTCGCCCTGGCACGCCAGCGCACGGCGTCGGAGGGCGCGTCGAGGCGGCGCGGACCTGCCGGTAGGTCCAGTCCACGACACCGTGGACTGCCTGATAGGTCCAGTCTACGGTGCCACCGTAAGGGTATAAACTTTCCAGCCGCCCTGGGACAGGCGCCCCCGACAGCGAAACAATTTACTTTATACCGTTCTTCGCCCGTTAAGTGTCAGTGCGCCCCAGGCCCTGCATAACCCCGCAAGATCTGACGCCCTGGCTGACCCCAATTTGCACCCAGCCCCGACTCGAGGCGCCCGAGGCTTGGCCCCCTGCGCAGCTCTGCCGGACACTTCTGGAGGCCTAGGAATGGGCACCAACACCAACACAGGGAGTTGCCTCCAAAGGGGGAAGATGATCCTCGATTTCGGTGTTGGTGGTAATATTTCGGTCACCTTGGAAGCCAGAATATTACCACCGTCACCGAGATTGGGATCATCTGCGATCGGTGGAGGCACACCGCCGATACTGGTGTTGGTGTCAACCTCTGGGCCTGCGACACTTCGGCTCAAATGGCATGTGGAAGAAAACATCGATGCGTCCTGCCCGCACAGTGGCCCAAGGTCGCCGCAAGACCTCGTGGGGACTGCAGCCTGGATTCCCCCCATTGGTGCGGGCAATGTGTCTTGGACTTTCTAGGAAGGGGCTCCAGAAGGCCGACCCGCAATGGATATGGTCAAACATGAACCTCCAAGGGCCGATGCTTTGTCCATATCCAGTGCGTCTCGGGTTTCTGGGCAATGGTGCCCGAAACTCCAAGCAGCAATAGATATGGACAGAAGTCTTCCGCACTTGGGAGGGATGACTTGGCAGACTACCTCCTTAGAACGGCCCTCGGGGTCCCACCCAAGCCCCATCGGATCGGGGCCCACCCAGGCTTCTAGCCGCCTCTCGTGCAGAGCTGGTGGACTACCTCATTGCTGTCGGTGACAACGCTCCAGTGGGCGACGTGGGGCCCGAAATTAACGGTGCATGATCACAGAACATGCTTTGCAAACCCGCACGTGGACCTGTATGCGCTGGTGCCCGCAAATCCATTCCTCGTCCTACTCTTCCTTCTTGTCACCCTCCTCCTGCTTCTAATTTTCCTCCTCCTCCTCCTCTTCTTTCGTTGGGCCGCCGGCACCGCTTCGAAACGATGGCGCACAGTGGCGCGCAAGAGAATCAAAGGAGGATGGGCAAGAGGAGGATCAGAGGGGGGAGGCGGGGAGATGGAAACGATGAACGAAACATGGACAAAAAATGGGGCGGGAAGGATGAACGAACAAAAAGGGGAGGGAAGGAGGTGGATGAGGACCGTCGGAAGAAGCCCAGGAGGCGTCAGCGATGCCGCAGCACATCCTCCCGCACCAATTGCCCTCCTCCAGCGCCACGGCAAGCCGTCCGCCTCGCTACCAGCAGCGTCTCTTCGAAAGACGATCCCCCCATTGGCCAGCCATTCAGGCGAGAATCCCCTGTTTGAGAAAAAAAACAAAATTTCGAGCAAACAGTCAGGACTGCAAGACTGTGATATACATAACCACAACTAGAACAACAAAACGCCCCTCCCCGTCCGTGCGAATGCTGGTTAACATCACGCAAATGGCAACTCGATCTCGAGATGCCGCAAAAGGGACGGATTTCCTTCCGCGCAGCTGTTCCATGGTTGAACACTGTTGTCCAGCACGTGGAGGAAATCTCAATCAAAAAGGTCGGCGGCGCAAAAGAGCCTCAGGCGCGGTCGGCAAGTGGAGGGGCAAATTGCAAACGCACTCGTCGAACGCGTCACATTTACACACACGACCACACACACACACGCACGCACGCACGCACGCACGCACCCACAAACATACACATACGCTCCCACCCCTACACACACGTAAGCACACACACACCAACACGCACACACACATACACACACACACACACACACACACACACACACACACACGCACGCACGCACGCACGCACGCACGCACGCACGCACGCACACAAACACATACACACACACACACAGACACACACACACACACACACACACATACACATACGCACACACGCACACACGCACACACACACACACAAAACGCACACACAAACAAAACGAACCACCAAAATCGTCATCGATCCGGGTCGATGCTGCAGGCTTTTAACGCAGACGTGCGCGGCGCTCGGGCGAGAACCCCATTCTGAGAACGATACGCCCTCTATCCTTGCAGCGGTTGCCAAATGGCGCGGCGCTGAGGCGGGGACCTCGATGTTGCAACGGGCCCCCCCCTCCATACTTCTAGACGTTGCAGGCACACGTTGAAACGGCCCCCCCTTATACCTCCCTGGAGCGCTTGCGCTTAGCAGAACTGGGGCTGGGTGCACCGTTTCCCCCGGGGCCGTAGGCGACCCGAGGAGGAGGAGGAGGAGGAGGAGGAGGAGGAGGAGGAGGAGGAGGAGGAGGGGGAGGAGATGGAGGAGGAGAAGGAGGAGGAGGAGGGGGAGGGGGAGGAGGACGGGTCGCCTAAGCCCTTCGGAGAAACCCTCCAGGGCTGGGTGGCGGTCTAGCACTCCAGCGGCTCCGCGCTCGCCGTCGCCGCCCCGTCGCCGCCCCGTCGCCGCCCCGTCGCCTGGGCGCCAGAGCGGCGGCCTGGCGGCCCGGTGCTCGCCGTCGCCGCCCCGTCGCAGCCCGGCGTCTGGGCGCCCGGGTGGCGGCCTGGCGGCTCCGCTCCCGCCTCGCACAGACTGCACCGCATCGATTGCACCACCTGCTTTTTCTCGCCATCGCTCGGACGTCCGTTCCCTGTGCTTTTTTCGGTTTCGTGCGTGGATTTCTCGCCGAATGATCAAGGACGCTCCTCAAAGGTCCTCGCCGAAGAAAGAAAGTACACGTCCGAGCGATGCCAAGTTTTTGGTACTGACGAACCATGGACGCAGGCTCGAACCCGCCCGCGCTGACGGCCGCGGAGCCGCACGCCCAGCTCCTCTGGCAGGAGTAGCCAGGCACACACCACTGAGGACGCCGCACACGACCGCGAGCACCTCGGCTCCAATCGCCTCCCGCCGCAGCCGCCCACCGCCCCAGCGGCCCGCTCCCCTAAGAGTTCTCGCCTCACGCCCACTCGGGCCCCCACGGGCCTCGCGCCGACTTGGCGGACCGCCGGCGGGGAGGAAATCTTCACCAGGTCGGACTCGCCCGCGACCCCCAGGCTGGAGACAAGCCCCCCCCCCCCTGGACTCTAGACTCGTGGATGCCACGACAATGGACACCCTAACAGTCCTATCATTGAATAGGACATGTGTTCAACATGTCGGAGAAATGTTCTAAACGTGGTTTAAACATGCTTTTAACATGTTCAAATCATGTCTAACACATGCTTTCGACATCTGGAAATTATCTGGCAACATGCTTCTTCTCCATGGATCGTCCTCCACAACTAGACTCCCGCCCAGGGGCCCGCGCCACCCCGCACCCGCTGGCCAACGGCCACGGCGGCACGGGGTGT